GATGGCTAATTAGGAAAAGGGGCCCGCGAAGGGAGAAGCTGGCAAAAGCCTTGCAACTGGCTAACTCATAACCCAGTCCAAACAGGAGAACAGGGGAATCCTATTTAAAGAGACTATTTTGAAGGACAACCTCCAGCTCCAGGAAGGGAGCTGGGGGAGTCTCCTGAAACAGGACAAGAAGCTCAGAGGGCCCAGAAAAGGGCAGAAGATCCTTCAAGTGCTTAATTTTGTTTGTAGTTCTGAGCTCTGCTGAAGGGCCAGGGAGAAGCCCTGAGACCTGCTACTCCGGAGAGAGGAGTGTGATGTTTTGTTTTGTTTTCATTCACTCCCATGGTGACTTGGAAGGACTTTGTTGCCAGCCCAGGGGAAGCCAGGGGAAGGGACTTCAAAGTGGCCAGCTTGGGGTCGGACCATTTACAGCTAGACTTGGACACCCGAGAATTGGACTGAACTTTTAAGTGGCTGGGCCGGAGGGCTAGGCCGCAAAAGGCCCAGACAGAGATGGACAACAGGAAGAGATGACCAAGGGGAAGGTATGACAACCCCACACCTACCCACAAGGGGGCATGCCAGAGTGACCGCTACCATCACAAGGAGCCGTTCCCACTCTCAGTCTCCATCCCAGATCTGGCACAATTCACAGTGATAAAAAATAAATAAATAAATAAAAATCATTCTCAACTGACTGCTGTTTGGGGTTCAGGTGTCCACAGAAGCTTCCTTCATAACTGGCAATCCCAGAAAAACTCCCTTCTCCCCCTGCAGAATGTGGATGGGGCACAAGGACCCAGGGCCGAACCAGGGACCTCCAGAGCTGAAAGGCTATGCCCCTACAGCTTGAGCTAAGACCCATATCCTCTGTGGAGTGGGCATAGGAAATGGGGAGACACATAACACATACTGAAGAGTGGCTTACATACCTCTTCTGAACAGAAGCATGTCCCAAACATTTGAGGCCCACAGCAGTTCACATCCCAAACAAGCTGCCACATACACAACCACCACCATCTTAGCCAAAACTGGAGATCACCAGAGCTATAAAGCTATGAGTTTAAGCTAAAGAGCCAGGCTGTCTACTAGATTCATATTCTCCAAGGACTGGGCATACTGCCTAATGGGTTATGCTTGTGCGGCTGCAACCTGTGTTCGGTGAATAAATAGAGAACTTCCGTCTGTAGGGCTGATGACCTGGTGCCTTTCATGATGAACCTTAAATTCACTTCCTTTTACAAGGCATCAGATGAGATTTTCTGGGTCAGGGACAAAGTGGCGGGAAGCAAAAAGCCTCCAAGGTGACAAATCTATTCAGTTCAGAGGTCACTGCCCATTTACATTGGCCTTGGATTCCTACCATGAAAACCGAGGTGAAATACAAGGGCCTAATATCAGCTTTCTAAAGAGCAAAATGAAATCCCTGTTGCCCATGGGATTAGAAGAATGGCTGGATGTTGTGGATGTGAATGTTGATGGTCAAGAGACAGAAACCTTGAGTGACTGAATTCCTATGGACAAGGGACAGCCTGAGAAGAGGCAAAGAGAGGATCAAATAAACCACTAGAGGAGAGCAACTGGTTGAATTTGAAACGCAAAGAAAAGCAGTTTGAAACTATTCAGTAGCTTCCAAAGAGCTCAGGGGTCCAATTCTGCCAGTTCCCCAGTGCTTCCTGCAAGGTGCTGTGCCATGTTAGAAGCTCCCAGCATCATGCCCTTAGAATCTTATTCTCCAGGGTGTTCTACACCCTCTACTAGGGGGGAGTGGAGGGGCACGGCCCTCGGCAGATTGGAGCCTTCAGGGATCTTATCTCTGATGCAAGCATTGTAGCAGAAGCCAGATGCTTTGGAGATATTCAAAGATGCGGGAGCTAGACGAGTTCAAAACCTAGTGAAATAACCCATCCACTGCAGCATCCCAGCTTAGAGAACCGTGAGGCTTTCACTTTTAAACAGAGGTTGGATGCATAAAGAAAAGGCTTCCAAGGTTTTTCAGATGTGATTAAAAATATAAAGTTACGATTGGCAATTCTGTTTGAGTTCCTTTCAAATAGAATGCAGAGCTATCAATTCTTTTCTTCAAGAGGTTTATCGGGAAGGTGAACAACAGAACATTAACAGCATGGTCTGAAAGAAGAGATCCAGTAAGTCCTGAAAAAGCATCGAAGGGGATTTTAAAAGCATTCACCACTGGCCTAACTCTGCTTTTCTTGAAGCCAATGGGATTTTAAATATTGACTTCAAAGGGAGCGATGGTTAAATGTCCATTGGCTTCCATGGGAGAAGAGTTAGGCCAACACTGAGCACTTCTGAAATTCCTCCTCTAATTCTTACTTACAGTATACAGGCTCAGGGGAATGGTCATTTCATTCACCAGGAGCGCAAGAGAGTGCAGAACCTTTAAACAACTGGAGCCAGAGTTGCAGAATTCTCGGCACCCAAACAGCCCACACTGAGAACACTCCAGGTTCTCAGTGCAAGCTACCGGGGCACTGAGCTCATTAGAAAATCTGACCCTCGATCTGACATTTATAACTCAGTTTCATTTTATCATCAGCAAGCCTCATGGAAATGTCCGATTGTTGAGAAAAGGATTTAGTGTTATCAGCCCCAGGATGAATAAGATAATGTAAGACACACATATCAATCTGATGAGCTGTACAATACTGGTTATTATTCATTGTGTGGATTGCAGAAGTCCTTACCATCAGCACCCCCCCTTCCCCTTAACAGAATCTGTCCATGCCTCCCCCCAACCCACCCACCCGTTACTGCACAGCCAAACCTTCCTCAGCAGCGGAGCTTGGGCTGAAGGCGGAGCTGGGGGCAGAACTGGGGATGGGGGAGGAGCTAGGGCTAGAGGCGGAGCTAGTGTGGGGGCAGAGAGGGAATGCGGGTAACACTGGGCTGGCAGAGCAGGGGGCGGAGTGGGGCTGATCTTGCCTGGAAGCGGAGCTGGGCTTGGAGGCAGAGTAGGACTGGGAGCGGAACAGGGCTGGAGGCGGAGCTGGGCTGGGGGCATGGCACTCCCTCCCTGCCCCTTCCTTGCGCTTCCCTCCCCCGCAACATTCCTCCGTGCCCCCTACAGTTTGGGGACCACTGATATAAACACGTTGTTTTTATTACACCCGGAGTAATAATTACATTACATCACAACCAGAGGCGTGACTGCAGCATGTGTAGACACACCTGAGCTAGCTTTTATCTAGCTAACTCAAGTTACAACAGCAACTAAGCCTCGGCAGCACGAGGCTGGGACCCAGAGTATTTACTTGACTGGCTAAGCCCATGCTGCTGCTGCCCATCACTGCTTTTTTTAAATCAAAGCTAGCTTGGGGTATGTCTACACATGCTGCAGTCACCCCTCTGATTACAGTGTAGACATATCCACAGTCCCTGCCCTGCAGCGCTTACAGCCTAAACAGGGTGGGAGAAAAGGATACAACATACAAGCAAAACACAGGGAACTGAGACACTAATCGGTAGCAACTGGCCACGGTCACAGAGAAGAACCAGTGACCGAGCTGGCAACTGAACCCAGGAGTCCTGGGTCCCTGTCCAGAACCTTAATAGCAAGAGCATCATCACTCCTAAGGAAGAGCCTTCATCTTCCCAAGTTTGGAAAAATAAAGAGCTAGAAACCGTTGTACTAATAGTTCGGTGGCCGAGTATTAAATCGTTCCGGATGATTCACCCCTGTGCAGAGAGCCAGAACAAAGCCTACGTGCCACTTATTTGGAGTAGTCAAGTGGGACTGGAGTGCCGCACAGACTGCATGCTGGTGCTCTGCACACAGTGGAGTTTCACCCCGAACGAGGCGGGAGTCACAGATTCCGAGCTCACTCTGCAAAGCCTAATGAAAGATACTTCGAGAGAATTGAATCGAATCTGTCAGGCTAAGATTATGTCTCGGAGGTCGGGGAAGACATGGATTCTGTGACTTCCAGAGACCGCCATGACATTTTCTGCTTCGGCCCTGGGGCAGCAGGGCAGGAGCTGTAAGCCCCCGCAGGCAGGGGCCCCCACAGCTCTCAGCCAACACGGGGGGACCTGGAGCTCTGAGCCACCACGGGTGTCGGGGGGACCCCTGCAGCCACAGGAGGACCCCAGAGCTCCAAGCCACTGCAGGCAGCAGGGGGGACCCCGAAACAATCAACCGCAGTGGCGGCAGGGGCTGGACGCCACCTCTTCCCTCCTATAGCAGGTCTCGGGCTCTCATCCCCGCATCAGACCCATTTTATCACACTTATTTTTAGTAAAAGTCATGGACAAGTCACGGGCTCCCACGAATTTTTCTTTATTGCTTATGACCTGTCCCTAACTTTTACTACAAATAACTGTGACAAAATATTAACCTTACCTATAAGTCCTTGTGCCGCACTCATCATCAAAGTCTAGGAGCGCCTTCCAGTTGTGCATTAAACAACGCTGTCCTCGGGAGCCAAAAAAAATCTTACCACGTTATAGGTGAAACCGCGTTATATAGAACTTGCTTTGATTCGCTGGAGTGCGCAGCCCCCCCCCGGAGCACTGCTTTACCGCGTTATATCTGAATTCGTGTTATATTGGGTTGTGTTATATCGGGGTAGAGGTGTACCTATCAGTCACACGTTTGTTCTCTCATCTTCTCCCCAGGGAGGGAAGCGCATGCAGTGGAGGTACACCCCTTAGCACCATTTGAGAAATGTACTGCACACTCTGGTAGCTGGGATGTTTTTTGTGGGGGGGGGAAATCTAAATAAAAACACACAGGACAAAAAAAATTTATAGAAAAAGTTGATCAATCCAGCTGATTCAAATAAAGGAAAAACTTCCGAACATTTTTAAAATTTTGCTTTTCTTCCCCAAAAATTTACAAAAGGGTTGAAAAACAAAGGAAACGTTGTCAAAAGTTTTGCCAATTTTCCTCCAAATGTTGTGGGATTTTGAAAAATTTCATCTTGCACAAGAATATCTGTTTTATTTACTTAAACTTAAAAGTGAAACGGACATGGAAAACAAGAGCTCACCTGAATCAAACTGTTCTCTGTTCCCATTGGCTGGACTCTGACCCTTTTCCTGGGATAGATGTTGAGTCTCTTGCGTGGCGGAAATCAAAGACATCCTAGTTTCCATTGCTCACAGTAAGATTTCTTCCTTTCCTAATTCATCATGTAACAAAAATGTCCTGCAGGAGAGTAAAAGAGACTAAATGAGCAACCTATTTTGACCAAGTAAACACACTCCCCTGCAAGTCACCCTGCATTTTGATTGCTGTAATTAATCTATGTACTTCTGTGGCTTTTATCATTACAATATCGGAGCACCAATGAAGTTATCCTTTGAGATGGGGATGATAATACTTCTCCATTTACAGATGAGTAACAGATTAGGGTCCAATCCAAAATCCACTGAAATCAATGGGATTCTTTCATTGATTTCAATGGGCTTTTCATCAGTCTATTGGTGACTTGTTCAAGGTTATATAGAGAGTCTATGGCTGAGCTAGGAATTTGGTTCAGTCCAGTGCCTTAGCCATAAAACCCATCGTTCCTCTGCTACATCTCTAATCTGTTCCTGAAGTTCTTCTGTATACTTGATCTTAACAGGGCCACGTGCTGAAAAGCAGCATGGTCTAGTACTGAGAGTAACAGGCTATAAATCTGGAAACCTGGCTTCTTTTAAACCAAAGTGCCACTGTGATGCTGAGCCATGGCTCTGTCTCCGCACAATGCACCATCCAGTGCAGCTCAACCAACCAGCTGATCTAAACCAGTGGTAAATCACTACAGCCCTGGAGCAAGGAGAATGCAGGGAAGGATTCTGTGACACGGGGGGTTTCTCTGAGTCACCAGGCCTACCAGGGATGATGCATCTTACATATCACCCTCTGCACAGGGCTGTGCCTTAGGGTATGTCTACACTACCCGCTGGATTGGCGGGTAGTGATCGATCGATCAGGGATCGATGTATCGCATCTCGTCTAGATGCCATACATCGATCCCCGAACGCGCTCCCCGTCGACTCCAGAACTCCACCAGGGCGAGAGGCGGAAGCGGAGTCGACGGGGGAGCAGTGGCCGTTGATCCTGCGCTGCGAGGACGTGAAGTAAGTCAATCTAAGTCGATCTAAGATATGTTGACTTCAGCTACGCTATTCTCGTAGCTGAAGTTGCGTATCCTAGATCGACACCCCCCCCCCAGTGTAGACGAGGCCTTAGAGGTACAATCTAGCACTTGGACTGTAAATTCTTTGGGGCAGAGGCTGTCTAATTATAAGTTTGTACGGGGCTCAGCAGAGTGGGGCTTTGATCCTGACGGGAACTTTTGGGTATCACTGGAAGACAAATAGTAAATAATAGATTGTTATTGGAGAAATGTCCTTGTTGGCCTCTTTGTCTATAAAACCCCTAGTGCACTTTGGGCTCTATATAAATAATGATCATTTCGCCACTTCATCTTTATTTCTCCTGACATGCATTATACACCATGACTATTTCAAACTCAGCTAAACTCAGAATGGGTATATCTGTCATCCCCAGTGTACATTCTCTTTCAATTAAGTATGAAACTAGAAGCAATCAGTCTACTGGAAGTCAAAAAACACTAATCCTTAAGTAGAGAAGCGCTGGAATATTTCCGTAAATATCATTAATAAGGAATAGGTTATGTATCAGCTTTTTACATGAAACTTATTTCGAGGGGAGGGGGAAAAATGGTAGTTAAAGCTTTTATTTTTCCCTTGGTAGGTTCAGATATTTTTACATTCACCCTAACCAGACAGTAAGGGAAGGTAATCTGGGATTGGAAAAGCAATCAATTTAAAGGTGCCAAATCAGTCATTTTAAATAGAACTCAAGGGTAACCATATAAATACGAAGCAGAAAGATAAGTTACTCAGTAGTATAGTTAAATCTTGAGAAGTTCCCATTATTTTGACAGGACAAAGATATGAGCTAATGTGAAGTTTAAGGTGTCTGCTCAGACAGCTGTAGTGTTTATACTGGCACATAGCAAATCACAGTTTCTGTTAAAGAAATATTGTTAAGGAAGGTTAGGCTCTGATCCATTAAAAGGGCCCATCTGCATCCCAACCAAGTCAGCAGAGTTCTGCATCAGTGGATCGGACTGCAGAATTGGCTTACGCGTTTATAAATAAGAGATGTTGAACAAAGCAACAGAGGAAGAAAAATGTTTTCGCTATTATGTTTAAAAAAAAAAGTCAGTAAAAACAGTCTTGATCTGGAGTTAAACAGTAGTTGCTGCAGCAGTGGGAATAAGAAATCTGGTCCAAAGCCCACTGAAATCAATGGGAGACTTTCCATTGAATGCGCTTTGGAGCATCCCCAAGAAACAGAAAGTGAAACGTTCATGAAACTGACGAGTACATTTTCATTGTCCAAGAGGAGGAAATGAACAGAGGCAAAGTAAATGGTCACCAGCGGCAAAGTTTGACTGTGAACGTCCCTAAACTCTGGAGAGGTGGACACAGCATTTGTGTTTCGGGCTCATCAGGTCAATACATATAAATGGTCAAGAGAAATTCAAAGGGATTTTGTTTAAACACGTTATTTATGTATTTTTAACATTACTAAGGAACACAGTTTTAAAAAATAAAAAAAGATTATACTGTGCCATCTACCTCTAAGAAGATTCTTGTAAAGTGTGACCTGGTAATGGCCTATGGCCAATCTTTTCTTGTTGGGAATGGTTACAAGATCATAATTTATTATAAAAGAACATTTAAAGCCTCTTCCCAGTATGATCTGAAAAGAAGCCCCAAACTTCCTCTTCAGCAAACCAAAGATGCTCAGGTATTGCTCTGAGCATTCGCGTTTACATAACTGGCTTTCAGTGAACGCTGATGTAGGCTGTTGATTAATAAATAATAAAATAAAATAATAGTAATAATAATAAATAGAGAAAAATTATTTGGATCACAATAGAGTCTCCAACCAAGATCAGGGACTCATTGCACTAGGCACAAGGGTATTTAAAAAACCCAAACACAGTACCTTCCGTAACGAGCTTACAGTCTAGAGAGACAAGACAAACAGGGTATGCCTCCGCAGTGACTAGAAAACCTGGGCCAGCCATCTTGGGCTCACGGGGCTGAAGCTGCGGAGACGTTTCATCATTGTGCTGGCTCCTGGGCTCAGGCTATGGCTGGGGCTCTAGGACCCTGCCAGGTGGGAGGGTCCCAGAGCTCAGGCTGCAGTTTGGAAGCCTACACAGCAATGAAACAGCCCTGCAGACAGAGCCCAAGTCGGCTGGCACGGGCTAACCGCAGGTTTTTCTTTGCTGTGTAGACAGACCCACAAAGGCTTAGATGGGAAAAAGAGGCACAGAAACTTGCCCAATGTCACTCCGCAGGTCCATGGTAGAACCCAGATCACCCTAATCCGGTGCCCTATATACTGACCACACTGCTTCACAGTGATTGCTGTTAATTATTATTAAGATGTATTAATACTAGACCCTTGACAGGAGAGATAGAAACACACAACCCCTGCCCCGAAGGAGCTTACAATCTAACGCCCCAATCCTTCAAAGTGACATGCATCGTCAGGACCCCCAAACTCTTGCAAAGCTGAAGTCAAAGAAATTTTGCACAGCTCTAGTGGTCCAGCTGTGCAGAGCTGAATCCATGATCAGGGTTAAATTGCAGCGGAGATGCTCCAAGTAACAAACAGCAGGGAATGGACAGGTTTGGAAAGACAATAAGATCGCTCAGTGATTCTACCTAGGTACTTGTCTGACACCCCATCCCCATAATATCGATGCACATCTCAGGGATTCAGTTAAAGAGGAGATTCATAGGTAATGAAGATGGTAACAGGCTAGCCTGTTCCATCTCCCCGTTTGAAGGGCCCTCCATGGGACCTGGGGTTTAGGAAGTAGGGAATACTGCTGTAGAGGTGTCTCGCTGTCCCCCACCCCATGGGGAGACAGAGACCCACATGTGAAGGGCATGATCAGACCCACAAGACTGAATTAGTCTGACAAAAACACATGCCCAGATTCTTCAGTGTTCCCAGCGCTTGCAATCTTTGGCACTACACTTGATGCCCTAGCTCCTGGAGTGATGTGAATAAGTGAAAATCTCAGCTTTCATTGAAAAAAAAAATTGCCTCAGAGTTGCCGAGACTCAAGCACTCCATAAAAATTAAAAAACCAGAAGAAAAAAAAATCTGAAGGTTTTTAAACCAATCTGATGATTTGGGGGTAGGGGGGCTCACTCCTAATTTTTGGACAGTGCAGTTGGCAATACTGATTCTTCTACCTCTTTACATAAAAGACGACAGCACCTAGAGTTTCACCGTTTTAAATTCCTCCTCTCTTGTCAACTCCAGCTCATTTTTCCTTTTTATAATTCACATTGAGAGGAGAACCCTGTCCTGATACCCAAACGCGACTCCCTTCACACCTCACACAGGACCCTCATTCCCCCACGTTCCTTTGGTGACCTCCTGTCCTTGATCCTTGAAAATTATTTACATCAGAAATGCAGGACCATGGAACTGAGGTCACAGAAAGAGTCCTTCACAATGGACGAAAGACTCCTACAGCATGGTAAACTACCTGCAGGAGTCATTGCTGGGGGTCATCACACCGGTGTACCTCTCAACTGGGCCTTGGGGCAGCTTGAGAAGTAACACTCCCACTGACTCCACAAGAACCTGGTTACTTTGGCAACCGACAGGGACCTTAGAGGGGATGGAACCAGCCCCCGCCCTCCAATAATATCCCTGTTCAGGGGATCTCCCCAGCTAATGTAAAGACTTTATGCCAGCCTCGCTCCCAGGTCCTGTTGTAGGGGGGCTGATCGGGGGCATGCCAGGAGAGGTAGGGAGTGAGTCAGGGATGGATCGGGGGCATGATCATATGGCTGTTCTCTCTGGAGAAGACTATGGGACCTTTTCCTTTCTCCCTGCCACACCCGTTTTTGCCTCAAGTGCGTGAACAGAGTAACTGAGTTCCGATCCCTTGGATTTCTAACCCCGTGACTTTTTTTGGGGGTGGGGGGGAAGAGAAGGGGTGGAATTGAACAGTGGAAAATGGTACCACCTATCATATGGAAAACAAAATGGGATCCACCAGAGTGCGTTGCGGCATAGAGCTGTAGTTTCGGTTCAAGCCCATATCTAATGCGTAATTTATAATCTGTAACTTTTAGATGTAAGCTTGA